CAAAACCAGCCGGCCCTGAATGTGACTTAGCAATTAAGGCGACCCTCTCAGGGGCTTTGATGGGTGACGGTTTGGGGAGCTTTTCCCAACAAAATCCATCCAGGTCGCATGGTGTAGTTGGTTATCACGTCAGTCTAACACACTGAAGGTCCTCAGTTCAATCCTGAGTGCGATCACATTGACTTCTTTTTGCTCCTAGGTCCCCTGACACCCTTATCTTAATGGCCCTATTCCGACGTTCATTTTATCTATCTACAGCTCTGGGATACCCTCAAAGGCATCCACAGCAGCCTTGGCCTTAGCCTTGACTGCATCACCAAATTCAATGGGCGACAGCCCCATCATCATCAACATCATGGACTGCTTCTTCTCGTTGACCATCAAATTGGCCGTCGTCGTCCGCGTAAACACATCACGCATGAACTCACGCGCCTTGTCTGGCTGGGGGGCTGCCGCATGGTAACAAGCAGAGGTGTATCACCGATTAGCTCTCATCGCAAGGTGCCAGTGGGCAGTGGACAGAAACAACTCACCCCCACTGGACCGGTAGTCGGAAATCTGCTCGGGGAAGCGTATCGGGCGGCCGGCCTCGACGTTGTCCAGCTCCGAGAGGATGTACTTGGTGCGCATGACAAAGTCCCAGGTGTGGAACAGGGTCGGGTGCCGGTTGGGCGCCTGCATCTTGGGATGACTGGCGATGGCGGTGGCGAGGTCCTCGAGCTGGGCCTCGATCTCGTTGCGGGTGGAGAGATCCGGGAGCACGCTGGCGCTGGCCGTTGGGTTTGCGGCGGGCATTTTGGGTTGCTGTCTGTGTTAGTTGCGTGTTAGTCGGCGTTAGTCAGGCAGAGGAGGTCTATCCGCTCGGGTCCGGATACCTTACCTTTAAGGCGCCTTGCTTGATCGAGTCTTGAGGTGAAGGTTGTGGACGGGGCAATCACGATGCGGCCGGTCTGAGTTTCTCCCTTCTCGAGACCATCTGCAGGAATCTCTCTAGTCTGAGAGGCGTCGCATCCCCCCTCTCGAGAATTTGCTATTTAGTGTCTTGGGTCCATCGATTTCATGATTGCTTTTGCCAGCCGTTGACAGTTGACAGCCGCATCGCCTACCCTGTCGCGATATGTCTTGACCTCGACATATTTTCCTTTTTTCTTGTCCAGGTTTACCGTCACCAAATTTGACTGGATTTGACTGGCTGGACCCCCCTGCACACCCGCTCCCCTGTTTTGGTACCAAACTAACAATCATTCAAAGATTGGATTGTATATAGTACATACATACGTCTCAAAGACCTATCAATGTACTGAATTCCCAGTGGAAATAAAAGCATAAAGTGGTTCCGCACACGTTCATGACAGCGTCGCGCTCGATGTGACTGGGGGAGAATGCTGGGGAATGCTGGAATCGAGATGCCCGAAAATCAATGACACCAACGTCGATCAGGGCCCATTCAGGTATCTGGGACCACGCTAAACCGCGCCAGGTAAAGGCCGAAAAAGGCTGAATCCCACCAACGTTTCCCTCAAAGTCTCATTGAGCTCCCAAACCTCCAACTTCGGCGCCGTTGATGCAACCCACCAGGCTGGGAACGGTGTCATATGGTGGCTCGATTGAGCTGGAGGCTATTGGATTTTTTTAGGACTACCACAAAGGGAGGGGGCTGGCGCAGACGCCGAGCGCCGTTCCCACCATCGTTGCAATCCCCCTAAATCGCTGACGATGCCAAGTCTCAAGGGGCACTAGCACTCCACATCCGCGGTTTCGCCCTCTGCCACGCCGTGCACACCCAACATCAGCTAGAGTCCGGCAACAAGAGGTCGCAGTGTCTCCCATCTTCTCGGGTGTCAACTCAGCCGGAGTGCTTCTTTTACGGGAAACGGCACACTAGGTCGATGGATGATGACATGAGTGACACCAACACAGACTCTCGTTTATGTCATGAATCTTGCATCGATAATCTAGAAAGGAGTTAAGCCGTCGACCCAGCGCGCGCTTACCCCGATACCTTCTCCAACGGCGGCTTAGCCCCACCATCCTAGCCTCTGATTAGCGGGGTCCCTTCCGCAATGCCTCATTGATGGCATTGGCCTTAGTCTTTCTGTCTCCTGCACTCTCTCCTGCACTCTCTCCTGCACTCCGTGTCTGTTCTTTGTCGCCCACTGCGTGATGACCGCCTTACATATCCTCAATGACGACTTGAGCTGCTTCGGTATTTCCCTCTTTGCCCAACCGTAACACTCCAAGCCTCCCATGATCGCCCACCATCTCCATCCCAATCTCAATCTCGACCGTTAATTGACCACCAATGCCAACACACATCGACTCGCCCACCCCGAACCGTCATTGAGCCATCCTCCACACCTTCGTCTGTGACATGCGGCGGTGGATATGTCTCGGCCGCAAGTGAATCACTAGAAAGTACCCCTCCCCACCATTTGCGCCTCACCTAGATATCAACTCTTTTTATTGTTGCAAAACCGTTTGGGATCCCGCATCGCGCCATATCTCAACCGCCAGACCGCCATACCAACTGCCCCCCTCGTCAAGCTCCATCTGCCTCGCGCATTAGGCACTTTACTTTGTTTTTGTGGACGTGTTCTCGACATTGCGCATGCCTACCGACCTCGTGGAATCACCGCTGCATCCATCTCGCAGCAAACCCCTGACATCGTTCATGCACCTAGCTGCAGACCCGGCCACTCCGGTACCGCAGAGTTAATGTCCTCAACTCAGGTGCATGGAATCCAGGTGGACAGGACATCCACGGCACCACAATCGCCAAACGGAGATGAAGGGATCAAGGTTCCCACTGACGAGAGCCAAACATCACCCGAGCAAATCCGCCTGGTCGTTCGGCTGATACAATGCCAAATCTGTTCACTGCCCTTACGGGACCCCTTCATCCTCCCCTGTGGAAGGACAGTATGCAAAAAGTGTCTGCCCAGGACACATGAGCGCGACAGCATCTCCTTCTTCGCAACACCGGATAGGTTGCAGGGCATATGGTGTCCGTTCCTCGAATGCACCAAGGAGCATGCAGTGGGAGACTGCAGTCCTGATGTTGCTCTTGCCAGGGTTGTTTCCGGCGTAGAGGCCGAGCTGGGAAAGGGGATGGATGCGGCGCTGGATTCTGACGTCTCCACCCACGTCGTGACGAGGGACCAGTGGGAGGAAGCTGGTGTTCCGTCACTGAGGGGACCCGAAACCACCTCCCTGCTTCTGAAGGGCGGAAGACTGCTCGCAACCTACACCATGGCCCAGATGGGAGCGTTGAAGTACGACACCGAGGTCGCCTACACGAGTCTTCTGACAGACGGCCAGGCGACGCTAGACACCGCAGTCCTTACCCAGGTCAAGGAGGCCGCAAGGAGCGAGGCAGACTGTCAGATATGTTATGCGCTCTTCTACGATCCAGTCACGACCCCTTGCGGCCACACGTTCTGTCGCTCCTGCCTCCAGCGCGTATTGGATCACGCCAAGTACTGCCCAGTATGCCGCCGCGGTCTGTCGATACAACCCGTTGGCAATACCGATTCTTGCCCCTCTAACCTTTTCCCTTCGAACCTGCTACTATCCAAAATGATCACCTATTTCTGGGCAGACCTGGTAGAAGAGCGGAGGCTGGCCGTCATCGCCGAGGGCCTTCATAGCGGGAACCGCGAGTATGATATCGCGGTGTTTGTATGCACCCTGTCATTCCCGACGATGCCCACGTTTTTACACGTTTTCGAGCCGAGATATCGGCTCATGATACGCCGCGCTCTCGAAGGCGATCGGACCTTCGGCATGGTTTCGTACAACGGCAGCGGCTTCGTGGAACTCGGCACTCGTCTCCGCATTGTAAACGTTGAATTCTTTCCCGACGGGCGGAGCTTGGTCGAGACCATCGGCACGTCGAGATTTCGCATTATCGAACATGACAACCTCGACGGATACGTTGTGGCCAAGATACGACCCATCAATGACGTCAGCATAGTTGAAGAAGAGGAAATGGAGGCCACCGAGGTTCGAAGAGGCCGGCGCAACAGCGCCGTGGTCGGCTCTGTCGCTGGTCCCGTGTCACCACGTCGGAATCGGTTCCCGACAAATCGCGCCGAGGTGGAAACGACCGCGACAAGTACCCTGATGGCCTTCGGAGCCGAGTTTGTTCAGCGGATGCAACATCAGAGTGTGGGGTGGCTGACGGCCCAGATTCTTGAGATATACGGGGATTGCCCCGAAGATCCAGCCATATTCCCGTGGTGGTTCGCCAATATCCTCCCGGTTAGGGACTCGGAGAAGTACCGGCTGCTCAGCACCACCAGCGTACGGGAAAGGCTGAAGATCTGCTGCGGGTGGATCTTTGAGTGGGAGAGAAATTCGTGGTAAGATCCCTCGCATCCCCCCCCCCCCCCTCTATCCATATTCCCTGTCCTACCTCCTATAGCTGCATCGGCTCGGGCAGGCCGCAGAGCCCATGAACCTTGAACCCCCTGCTTGAGAACTATACCCCATTTCTTACCGGCCCGGATTTTCTGTCCCCACGCAAGACAGTTGTGGCAGGGCGCCGAAGCTGATGATTGATGACACTTCAGACCGACATGTATTGACGGGCTATCCTAGGTCCTTTTCGTCTTGTAGCGTAATGTGAACGGGATGGTGGCGTTTTTTGTATGGCTCTGGTGACTCGCGGTTTTTAGACTCGGCATTGGATTCAGCATTTGCATGGCATGGATAGTTGGGCAATCTTGGTTGATATAGAAGATACCTCTTTGGGCCGTATTTAAGTGGTATTTATAGGGCAATTGAATGTATAGTGGATGGTGTTTATAGAGGGTTTGTTGACACTGTGAGTGAGTTGGGAATGTGATGTTATGCAGCTGCGTCGTAGAGAGGTCCTAATGAGTTGTCGGGAGATTGTGCATTGCCTAGCTTTGAAAGACTCAGGTGGAACAACAACAACACGGGGCAGAAATTCCCGAGTAAAAAGAGAGATATGCCCAAGTTGGCAAAATAGTAGTTTTCGACCCACGTGCGGCTCGAACGCACAATCTTCTGAGTTATTGATTTCTTGTAACCGAAATCAGACGCCTTACCATTTGGCCAGCGGGCCTACTTCATTTGATGCAGGTCACTGCTGCTAGACTGCACTATGACATGCATGTTGCATACGTTTGGGGGTGGGGGATTGGGGCTGGGTCTGGGGGGCGGTTGAGTGCATGTGTGGAGTGCCATTCCATAGTTGGTGTCAAATGTTGGTGACAAGTCAGGGGGTTTGTGAGTTGTGTGGGATGGAGAATGACAAAGCTACCTACCTAATTGTAGAGAGCCTTTTCAGGGTGGAAGCAGTCGGTATGTAGGCACCCCTAAAAGGGGCTTCTATCAAAGGTAGCCTCGCTAGCCCAGGCTCAACCCATTAACACCGCAGCACCTCCCCTAATTTCTTTCCTCAAAGAAAATAGTTCTGATGCCCCTGGTACTGCAAAAAACCCGCCAGCAAATATGCCAGCAGTAAATATGCAAGCGCGAACAGATATCGTAAGCCTTGTCTTCTAATTGAAAGATAGGTGGCTTGGGCGAGGACTAGTTATTGAACTGGTGTCTATTTAGCTGACACAATGTTTCGCTATTCTTAGCTACAGCCACTGATGTAGCCAGAAATATAAGAATGTATATTATATCATGGCTTGTCAACCGGCACATAGCGGAAGTAATAACAGCCATTGGGCAAACCGAGTTTTGTTGGTTATGCTAAATGCAAGTGCACCAGTACAAGCCTCTCTTTACTGAACCCCCCCCGCCCCCCCCCCCCCCCCCCCTTGGATGAGAAAACCGTTCCTGTAAACCACAACCCGTAGCTCAAGAAAAGGGTATCAATATATTTTTCCAACGGCTACCTGCTCGCTTTGTGTAAAACTACACCGCTCTGTATCTGGGCACCGTATCCTCCACCCCACTCTCCGCTTGACTCCACGTAAAACATGCACGATTCGTCTTCAAGCCAAGCACTAAATCCAGTGGCTAGTTCTCTGGCCATCGGGCTTCGGCGCACTCTCTCTGCACCATCTCTGTGCCCTTGCTACTTTGGAGGGTTTTTCTCGATGCAAGATCCCCACCAGCCTCTACTTGGCTTCAGGTGCTGCGTCCTCCATAGCAACGTCATCTCCCTCCACTGTTTCCGTAGACTTGACTTCGATGTCATCGGCTGCGGACCCAAATATGGCTGCCTCCAAAGCCTTGAAGTCACTGTCGACAACTGTATCGTAGAAGTTTGGTGTTGCGGCGTGCTCTGCCAAATCAACGGCGGCCTTGAGTGCTTTCTGGAGTTGCTCATCTTTCAGGCCATTTTCTTTCAGGTGTGCTTCTAGTGTCACCGGGTCGGGTGGCTGGATGAAAATAAATCCTGCCGAGAAGCCAAAGTCTTTGACTTGCTGCGCGAACTACCATCGATGTTAGTTATATACTATGGCGGATGGGGCCACAAGGAACACTTACATCGCGATCTATTGCCAGCAAGGCGACCTTGCCGCCCTCGCTGATCGAGTCGACTACTCGCCGGCTTATGCCCTGGCTGGCATCGCCTTCTTCGCTGAAGGCTAGGAACTGGTCGCCGTCCCGCATCATGTTAAAGCTTTGCGCATTGACAAAGTGGAAATCCTTCCCATTGGTTTCCCCTTCTTCCGGTTTCCGAATCACATGAGCCGGGACTTTGGTCAATGTTCCTGGGTGCTTCGCTAAAAGCTGCGCTATTAGACCGGTCTTGAGGCCGGCGCCATCGACAACGACTGTTGGCCTACAGTCCTCGGGAAAGATTGTGTCGCCGTTAGTGATTTTCATGGATTCGCTAGGTTCTTCGGCTGGGCGATCTTCAAATATGGCGTCGATTTTGTCGTCGCTTTCAATCTTGTCAAAGGCGGCGAGCTTAAACCTGCTCGCGATCCTCAATGCTCGCCAGGACTTGCTCGCCTTGCCTTCAATCGCAGCGGCCTTGGTCTCGTTGTTTGTGGGCATATCAATTTCAAAGTCGTCGTTGGCGATCCCCTTCTGGAAAGTCGAGAGATCTGGAAGCTCATATCGGTCCTTCGCCTTCAACCGGTCCATGGCTGCCACCTCGTCGTCATCATCGAGAAAGTCGAGGGAGAGCGAGCCCAAAGGTGTCGTTCGTAACCGCTTGGTCGTGGCTAACTTATTCGCCGAGTTTCTGGCCTCGACAAAGGTCTGGGGCGAGATAAACGGAAGCTCAATCGATGGACAGTTCTCAATCTTCCACCGTACCCAGTTCTTGTCTCTGGACAATACCGTCTCCACCATTCGGTAGAAGTATGGCCCCTCTGACCCCTGCTTCAGGTATTCGGCGATGGTTTTCTTCATCCCCATAACCCACTCGGTGTCTTCTTCGTTCAATTGCTGGTCCGAGTATGTCACCGATTTATTGGGCGCTTTGATGCCGCTTAGCTTGTCTTTTGCCTTGGTAGACAATGCAAGCAGGAACTCCATCACTATGAGTGCCTGAACTAACACGTTCCGCCGAAACGCAAGGTCGTTGATCTGCAAGCGATCAGCAAACACACAATCGAGAGGCAAAGCATATGCTTACTTCGAGTTTGAACAAGTCTCGACTTGTGAGGTACTTTGGGTTGAAGGCGCTGGCGAGCTCGTCATTGCCATCGCCCGGTTTCCGCTTGGAAACACGACTGTTCTCCTCAACCAGCTTGTCCATCTTTTCCCTAGAACGGGATGCTTGCTCCGGCTTGATGCTTCGAAATGTGGCTATTGTCGCCTCAAGTCCGAACTTGAACGCGGCAAACTGAGGCTGCTCAAACAGCCTTTTGGGCTGGTTAAAGCTCTCTTGTAGAGACCAAAAGATGGGATACAAAGTATCCGGGTCAAGAGGCTTTTCTTCCTCCTTTTCTCCCTGCTTTTTGCTATCCGAGCCAGCAGCTCTGGGACGAGTCTTTTCGTCCTCATCGATATCCATCTTTTCTGCGTCCCCCTCACTACCTAAAGGCTCGCGGTCGAATGTGGTGACATTTTCGACATGGTATTCTCCCCTGAGATTGACCGAGCTCTTATCACCTAGAGGAAAACTCTGAAACATGAAGATGAAGACCCTACCGCAAAACGCTGGGTCCAGAGCCCTGGACAGGCGCCTGAGAAGCTCATTACAGGTCCGCAGGATGACAAGCTGCTTCTGTTTGAAGTGCTTGGCTGTGATACGCTCGCGGCGGGACTCGAGGAAGTCAAAAACCTTGCGGCAGCCGGCAATCGTTTGGCTGTCAAGCAGCTCCTCCACCAGCCATAGCAGCAAGGCTGGGTCGCATTGTTCGCCGTCTGAGAGGATGGTTAGGATGTCGAAGAGATTCCAAACCGTTACAAATGCGGGATCATCAATGGATATTGTCGCCTATGCGATGTGAGCTTGCGCGCCGGCAGGTATCAGTCACGGAAACTCACAATGAGATTGCTGAATGTGTCGCGAACTGCCGTTTCAATAACGGCAAAGCGCTGTGTTTTCCTCGCATCGGCGGTATCTTCGACGGGGCTCAATGCCGAGCTGAGGACCTTGGTCAATTGCTTCTGGAGATCTGCAAAGTCGGACTTGTCGAGCGGGGGCTCAATGGAGGCTGTGCGCTTCACGGATTCGGCACGCGAGAGCAAGTCTTGGAGAAAGCCGCCAAAGGCGGTAACAGCAGCGATGCCGTGGCTATCCATAGCGGCCGAAGGCATTGTGGTCGCCCTGTGCTGGAGAAAGGAGGACGGCGCTGCTCATAAATGGTCTGCAGGCGGTAGTGCTGCTAGCTAGATATTCTTTGCGACTTTGGGCGGGAAACCGTGTTGGCGCTCAATAGTGCTGTTGTGGTTGCACCTTCGGTCCGAGGGAGTCAAAGAACATGCCCCGAACAAAGCAAAAGTGACAAGGCTGACGGGAGCTCCCACCTGCCCACCTGCCCACCTGCCCACCCCCTGCAAGCCCGAAGTGAGTGGGGTCACTGGCCTGGGGTCCGCGTGTGGTGCGGCGGCTCGCCTGCAAGGCTGCAGATTACGACAGCCATTAACTGGCAAAATTCATGCAGCAGCACGCATCGACCCGTCTCAACGCGACAACAACGGCCTCACAACGGCCAACCGCGACAATGCCTCCCGCGAAGAGAGTCAAGAGTAGCGCCGCCGCCCGCAAAAATGCTGCCGCTGCCGCTGCCCGGCCCGCCGACGACGTCGATGGCGAGGGTGAGTTCGCATCGCTCGCACGACAGCACTGGCTGAAGACGACCAAGCGCACCACCAAGGTCAAGGTCAAGAACGACGTGCTCAAGCGCGAGATCTGGGATGCTTTGGAGAAGGACAACTTCCCCCTGAAATCTCTGCTTGCCCTCGAGGGCCTGCAGACGCTCGAGAGGTACGCACCGCCTCTACACTCTCCATCCCCGATGGGGGCGTCGCTAATCGCATCTGCAGCTACCTCTGGCCGGGCTATGGCGAGGGTTCGTCCAACTACCACGTCCTCCTAATTGTTCTCATAGTCAATGCCAAAAGGAGGGAGCGGCTCGAGTCCTGGGGTATGTGTTTCAGTCTTTGGGTGTCTTGTTGCGACCGCTGACATCATCGCAGATCTGTTCAGTGACCGCCCTGCCGATTTCTCCGATCTGTTCCGCCGCGCGCTGTCCATGACACTAGACAGCACCCTTTCCTGGACAATCAGAACTAACGTCCTACTCTTTATCATATATGCCTTCCAAAGCCTCGATTGCGCTATCGTCCGGAAGGAGTGCGCCCCTCTAGTGTCTATCTCGATCTGGCACAACCTTTTTACCGAGGAGAAGCGGGACAAACTGCTCAACTCGAACGCCCAATTAAGGAAGGCCTGGCGCGCATCTGCAAAGCGCTATGACGCAGCCGACGACCCGATGAAGGCGCGCCTGCGTTTTGAAAGGTCCTGGCTATATTCTTCCGTCCTGGATTTCCTGACGTTGCTCTACTCCGACAGTGGGAAGAAGGGTATGCTTCAGTCTCTAGGAGTGCTTTTTGAACGCGGCTGTTAACATTGCTGTTTTAGACCATGTGCTTTACTGCGAGCGTTTCCTGGAATTCCTGATCGACCTTCAGAGCCAACTG